TTATTTCTTCATATGCCCTTGCATCCATACCTCATTTTGGAGCTCTGAAGATTAGAAAGCAATCGGTTGACAGATTTCTGTCAATGCTGCGCAGCAATTAGAATTCCCCTTAATGTGAGTTCCCAGTTTTAGCCAATCCATGTAGGGGAAATAATGAGACTGAGAGCGGAAGCTTTCCTAAAATATATTCTGATGGATGTGGTTTGTTTTCAATGTCTCTAGTGGGACAAATAAAAACTGGTTGAAATTACCACCCAAATACTATTTACCGAGTTCCACTCAGAAAACAAAGCAATGCTTTTTTTCCATTTAATCTACAAAAAAGGATTATCAGTATTTTGTATTTGTAATCTGAGGAGAGCTCTAAAAATGAATGACTCATTTAACAGATGTACCAGCGGTAACTTCAAACCAATCACTTTAAGTCTCAATGGGATCTTTCTTAATAAATATATTTGCAGGATTTTGCATATACTGTGCACTCCCCATAATGACTTGATGTAAACTGGGTATATCCAAGGTATTGTATTCAGTCAGTCTTCACCAGATTGTCCATGGAATGCAAAGAAAACACTCAGATTCCAGCTAGACTTTCGCATGTTTGAAATTGATACTAAGTGCCAAAAATAAGAGTGAATTTATTCCTACCACAAAGTATAGCAAAGAATGTGCTGGATTGCTATCAAAAATGGAATAGCTACCAGTGTCCTGTTTTAGCACTATTTCAAATTAGGACATACTGAATGAATTGTCCTGCATGTTCTTGGCCAGAATGCTTATTGAGCATGTTTCCCAAGGACAAATAGAATTACAATACAATGTACTGTATATTAATATAGTGACTCTCACATTGGGAGGATGTCCTAAAGCGCTGAAAAATGGTACAATCACTGATTGGATAGGTCAGGCAGCATCTATGGAGAGAGGAAAGTGAGTTAATGTTGCAGGTTGATGACCTTTTGTCAGTTTTACCGAAAAGTCATCGACCTGAAACGTTAACTCACTTTCCTCTCTCCATAGATGTTGCCTAACTTGTTGAGGGTTCCCAGCGATGCTGGACCAAGAGTTGTTTTTAATTGTTTTCAAAGGCTCTCCAATAGTCTAGTGGTTAAGGCATCACCCAGTGTAATAATAAATCATAAAGATGGGAATGTTGCAGGTTAGATTGCTAATCTGTGCTGAATTGATTAGCTAATCTCAGATGGGATACCAGATGGAGTGCGAGGATCATCAGTGGCTCGGGGAAGGGGAAACTCAGCCAGATTGCTTGCTGAGTGACAAAAGTCCAGACATGTCAGTGGTGACCCTATGATTGAAGAACCTGTTAAAACTTAAAAATAACAAGTGAAGAAAATGGACTTCAGGGCAGATATGGGTTAATGGTGCCCATGAGAATACCCCAGAAGAGACAGTACCTACAGGGCACTCCCATGTTTCTCTCTGCTCTGTATAGTGTTGCACTGTAGGATATTCTCTGCAGTACTATATTCATTTATCTTTCCTGTATTTTGTTGTACCATCTTGTACCATGTTGCACTGTGTTATATTATAGTAGGTGATGCTGTCTTGTGGTGTGCTGTATACTATTCTGTGTTGTACTGCATTACATTTTCTTTTTGTAGAAATATGTAATCTAACTGTATATTGTATTGTGCTTTATTGTGCTATGCAGAGGAATTTGTGCCACATAAGTTGAATTGTATACTGTTCCATACTATATTGTCTTCCACTGGACAGTGGACTGTACTTTATGGTTTTACTTTGTTCTGTGCTACCAACATCTCCTCTCTTCCAGGTCTAACCTCCTGAACCTCCCTGACCTCTCTCTCAAACCCCACTCCGAAACGATGTGCAACCTAGTCAAACTTTGATCCCCAGCTTTCCTTTTTTCCTCACATCCAGTCCCTCATCAAGTCCACCTTCCTTCACAACCTCCTTCCTTCACAACTACCTTCATTAACCTTCCCTTGCTCATGTCCAACCTTGTCCCTGTGAAGCACTTTAGGACTTTACCCTAAGTGCAAGGTGCTATATAAATGCAAGTTGTTGTGTACTGTGAGGTACTGTATTGCATAGCACGGTACTGTATCATGCTTTATGCTACATTGCATTATATTTCTTCATGCTCTTTATGGTTCTATATTGACTTGCTTCCCTACAAAATTGTGATGACACTTTACAGAAAAACTCTGAAGTACTTTGAGATAATTAGACGTGATAAGGCACTATATCAAATGCAAAGATTATTATCATTATTGCATTGGTGTCTTGGGTTGTGTTATGTATTGCGATGTCCTACTTGGCATTGCGCCATTCTGTTCTGTACTGTGCTCAGCACTGCAAAATGTTGTATGTGCCCTGTACTGAGTTGCATTATACTGTATTATTTTGTTGCACTATTCTGTATTGGTGTATTGTAATATTATATGCTCTGTATCGGATTTTTTTGTGTTACTCTATGTTCTGAACTGAATTTTGTATTGGGTTTTTGTATTGTTCTTTGTCATGTTTTTAGTATTGCCATGTGCTGTATTATTGTGTTTGTTTGTACTTTATTTTACTGCACTGTATTGTCCTACCATGGGGTTTATTATATTGCTATCCACTGTATTAATCTGTTCTGTTACTATATGATGTGTCCTGTGATGTACTACTGTATTATGATTGATCTATGCATTATTGCACTGTGCATTGTTATTGTTGCTGCTCTGTTCCACCCTGTACTGCGTTATAACAAAATGTTAATGCTCTTTGCTTTATTAACGCATCCTGTATTATTATAGCAAATTGTGACTCTGGGCTGTATTAACCTATACTGCATTGTTAAAGCATGTTATTAATTTCTATTGCATTAATGCAAAACATGTTATTGAAGCTTGTTGTTACTCTTTCTATATAATCTACACTGTGCTGCATTAATGTGTGGGACACTTCTGTGCACAATTGGCTGTGGCGGTTCGTCCACAACAAAGTCAATCCAATTTACAATATATTCTGTGAAGCACTTTGAGACACCTGAATGACGAGATAAGGTACTAACAAATGTAAGGATTATTATTGAGTTGCTGTGTAATGCAATTATCTGTTCTGCGCTGAATTAACTTGTCATGTGCAACAGTGGGATTGTTGTATGATTTTTCAAATTGTACTTTGCACTAGCAGCGTTGCTGTGTGGTGTATCAATCCTGTATTGTATTACCCGTGTACAGTGCTGTAGTGGCGGTTCTGATTTCTACAAGGCTACAGAGACATCCCTGCATGCTGTTTTGAACCTGTGCAATGCTGCAGTGGTGTTGCTATGTGACACTGAGGCATGCTGCAGCAGTGTTGCTATGTGACACTGAGGCATGCTGCAGTGGTGTCGCTATGTGACACTGAGGCATGCTGCAGTGGTGTCGCTATGTGACACTGAGGCATGCTGCAGCGGTGTTGCTATGTGATGCTGAGGCATGCTGCAGCAGTGTTGCTATGTGACACTGAGGCATGCTGCAGTGGTGTTGCTATGTGACACTGAGGCATGCTGCAGCAGTGTTGCTATGTGATGCTGAGGCATGCTGCAGCAGTGTTGCTATGTGATGTTGAGGCATGCTGCAGTGGTGTTGCTATGTGATACTGTGGAATGCTGCAGCAGTGTTGCTATGTGATACTGTGGAATGCTGCAGCAGTGTTGCTATGTGACACTGAGGCATGCTGCAGTGGTGTTGCTATGTGACACTGAGGCATGCTGCAGCAGTGTTGCTATGTGATGCTGAGGCATGCTGCAGCAGTGTTGCTATGTGATGCTGAGGCATGCTGCAGCAGTGTTGCTATGTGATGCTGAGGCATGCTGCAGCAGTGTTGCTATGTGATGCTGAGGCATGCTGCAGCAGTGTTGCTATGTGATGCTGAGGCATGCTGCAGCAGTGTTGCTATGTGATGCTGAGGCATGCTGCAGCAGTGTTGCTATGTGATACTGAGGCATGCTGCAGCAGTGTTGCTATGTGACGCTGAGGCATGCTGCAGTGGTGTTGCTATGTGACGCTGAGGCATGCTGCAGTGGTGTTGCTGTGTGATACTGAGGCATGCTGCAGTGGTGTTGCTGTGTGATGCTGAGGCATGCTGCAGTGGTGTTGCTGTGTGATGCTGAGGCATGCTGCAGCAGTGTTGCTATGTGACACTGAGGCATGCTGCAGTGGTGTTGCTGTGTGATGCTGAGGCATGCTGCAGTGGTGTTGCTATGTGACACTGAGGCATGCTGCAGCAGTGTTGCTATGTGACACTGAGGCATGCTGCAGTGGTGTTGCTGTGTGATACTGAGGCATGCTGCAGTGGTGTTGCTCTGTGATACTGAGGCATGCTGCAGTGGTGTTGCTATGTGACGCTGAGGCATGCTGCAGTGGTGTTGCTGTGTGATGCTGAGGCATGCTGCAGCAGTGTTGCTATGTGATGCTGAGGCTGCAGTGGTGTTGCTATGTGACACTGAGGCTGCAGTGATGCCGCTGTGTGGGACCCGCTCCCGCTCTAAGCCCCGCCCTCTCGGAGGACGCGGTGACGTCAGCGTGTGCGGGCGGACGGGTGGGCGGGGCCGCGGGGCTGTGCGCTTGTCAGTCATTCCGGGGCTGTGAGCGCGAGCGGTGCTGGTGGTGGAGTAACGGCTGTGGCGCGAGAGTGGAGCGCGAGAGCCTGTGTGTCCCCCCCCCCCCCCCCCCTCAGTGCAGAGCCGCCCTCGCCATGGTATCGCCGAGTCGTGGAGGCCGCTGCGCTTCGCCCTCAGCGGCACCTGGACCCCAGTCCGCCCCACCCCCCGGCCTCAGGGCGCCAACGGCCGTTTGAGCGGCCACTGAGGTCCCCCCCACCACCCCCCTCCCCTCCAGTCCCTTTCCCGACATTTAATTATATTTAATCTCCGTTCATAGCGGGAGTGGGAGAGCCCCTCTCCCCCACACCCCCACACACACCCACTGCGCTCCCTCTCCTCCTCCCCCCCACACCCCCACCGCCCGAGTGTGTCCCTTCCTGTGCGCCGCCGCCGCCGCCGCTGCAGGTAAACATGATGAAGACCGAGGCTTCTTCAGGCGAGAGATCGACCCTCCGGAGCGCCTCTCCGCACCGCAACGCTTACAGGACCGAGTTTCAGGCTCTGAAGAGCACCTTCGACAAACCCACCGCCTCCTGCTCGGGCAGCGGTGCCGGCAGCTGCGGGGCAGGCCCGGACTGCAGGGGCAAAGGAGGGTCCGAGAAAGCGCCTCAGGAGCAGCAGCAGCAGCAGCAGCAACAGCAACAACAGACCCGGGGCAGGAAATATGGCTCCAATGTCAACCGAATCAAAAACATGCTCTTTATGCAGATGGGGATGGGGCCCGGCGATAACAACGGGGTCGCTCCGAAAACCAAAGCCCGAGGGGCTGCCGTCTCCCCGCAGAGGAGAGTCCGCTCCCGCGACTCTCTCGATGCTGCAGCAGCAGCAGCAGCAGCTCCGGTGAAGCCAGACTGCACCGTGACCGAACGGGTCGTCGCCCGCTTGGACTCGCCCGTCCAGGAGGGACAGTCCTACTCCAAATTTTCCGAGACTCGCAAAATGTTCGAGCAGAGCATCCGCGAGCCGCTGCCCCTGTCACACCAGCTTTCGCCCAGGAAGGAGAGGAAAGCGTCCCAGGAGCAGCTGCTGGAAGAGCTGAAGGGGATCGAGAGCTCCGGTTGCAGCAGAGGCAGCACCGAGTCCTTGGACAGCACCAGCCCCAGGACGGAGACCGTTTCTCCTACAGTCAGTCAGCTCAGCGCCGTGTTTGAAAACACCGAGCAGCAGAATCTGCTCATTGAAAAGGTTGGAGAGACTGAACAGTATTTTGTAACCGGTAATTTCCCCGTTACCCCGACCGTTTCACCTACCGCTGACCAAGAGCAGCAGCCCGACTCCAAAACCTCCTCTGTCCAAGATCGCTGCGGGATTTATTTTGAACAGCAGGAAGCGGCTTTTCTCGGGCTAAGTGACACCCAGCAAATAGTTGCAAATGACACGGCGGCAGTTCCTTCAGGAACCTTAGAGACATGTGTTCCTTCTACGTTAAACAGTCCTGTGGAGATCAGGCACATTAAGCCCATTGTCCACGAAGGGGCAGACGATCGAGACCAGACCGAACAAGGAGGGAGGAGGGAAGGAGGGACTGCAGAGGATCCGTGTGATACTGAACCTGCTGCATATGGCCAACCACCCGATACAGTTTCACATCATTCAAAAGGCAGTACTGCTTTAGCTGAAGTACTGTCCGGTAAGCGAGATTCAACAGCAAGTGAAAACTCCTCAGAGGAAAGCACCCCCGAGTATTCAGGGACTCCAGCGACAAATCTATCAGCTGCGAAAGACAACGAAAAGGAACCCAATAAGGAATATACAAAAACTGAAGCTAAAATTCTGAACGAGGATAATGAGGGCTACAGTGTTGAATCCGGGGTTGATGCTGGTTGGGAACAGACTTACGAGGACTCAGAAGAACAAGACGATAGCGATGATAATTTTTATGAACCAGTTGTGGAGTGTACAGAAGTAACAGGCTTGTCCGATGAAGAAAACATTCCTGTTAACAGGAAGATTAAATTCAGCACAGCCCCCATAAAAGTAAGTGAATCTTTAATTAATGCACTGGATGTGTTTACATGAAAATGTGGACATATAAGGTACAATTTACAACAGACAACATAAATTCATTTTCAGTAAATAGCTATACTGTATTTCCAAATAAACGCGCATCGCGAAGCCAAATAATATTATAGAAATGTGTCTTTGTAGCAGTAAAGCAACTGAACCTATTCTGGCCAGTATGGAAACGTTGGATTGAATCGACTGTAAAGAAAGATCCAGTTTGCCTGTTATTCAGTAGCAAAATTAACTCTGTTTCACAAGTGGCATGAGTGACAGTTTGTGCAACTTGCTCAATAGGTGTAAAAGGAAGTTACAATTGTTGCTGCCCTTTTTTAAAAAAAGGGCAACTTACTGTGTTTCTTGAAATGTAGCCACTGTTATCCATTTTATCACTGTTTTCCAATATTTGTGATTAAGACATTGTGATTTGTGATCAAAGCCTTTCCTTAGAGAATGCATCAAATTGTAAATTTTTTGGAAGGGTAAAGGAGGTAACATTTATTTTGTTACCTTTATATTCACAAATGTTTAGAATTTTTAAATAATTTTAACATCATTAAGGAACATTGAGGTAATAGTGATTTTGTTATGCGCCTGGAAAGATGACAATCATTACTATGTTTTTTTAGGAATCACAGAGACATGGTTAAAACAGAATGATGGAAGTGAATACAACTTGCAAGGTATTAGGTACAGGTTAATTAGGAAAGATAGGAAGGATGAGAAAGGTGAAAGAGTAGCTAGCTATATGTGATTGACAAATGGAAGGGTAAGGTAACATGATTAATAATGGAATGAAATCTCTGGGAACATGTACTGAATAAGAAAGGGATCAGACTGACATTTGGGATTTGCTTAAGACTGCTAGGCCAAAGTAGAGAGAATGACTTGCCGTTTTATAACATTAAGTTTACTTGAGCAGAACAGATGGGAACAACAACAAAATTACATTTATGGAACGCTCTTCACCTCGGGAGGACGACCCAAGGCGCTGTATTGAATATTGAATAAATTGGGAATACTCAATTGGGAAGGACTCTGACCTTGTGACTAGAGTGCATGACAACTGCCTGACTCAGTGTGTGTCAGGGAGCCCACAGGGACAGGTCTCTCCTTGGCTTAGTTCTCGTCAGTGATCCAGACGCTATTGAGGAAGTGACCACTGATTAATATTCAAGTTGACTTGGGAAATAGAAAAGCACACATCAAATTCTAGTATTCAACTTTAGACAGGCAAACCAGACGAATGAGGGTTGAGCTAAGTGACGTGGGCTGAATAAGCAATATTGAAGAACAAATAGGTTGAAGATAAATAGACATCCTCAAAAATTATTCTGCACAGCATGCCGGTCGACTACATAACCAAATCCAGCAGGAGCAAATTGAACAAAACCACACCAAAATAGATTAGTAGGAAATAAATAGATTAATACAAAAAGGAAGATTTACAAAGCTTGTAGAGTGAATGGCAAGGGCTGAATACAAGAATGTACAGAAAGTATTTTTTTTAAAAAAAGGAGTTAATAGCGAACTGGAAAGGGAATAGTAGTAAATGCAAAGTACAGTACCATTATTTCCAATATTGTAAGTGTTGAGACTCGAAGAGGGTTGGGAAAGAGAATGAACAAGAGAATAGAGAACATAATGAAGTACTTCCTGGAGTTCTTTTTTNAACCAAGCAGGAGATTTGTGTAGCACTGATGGATGTTATGAGAGAGTCATTTGCCAGTGGTGAAATTCCAACAGACTGGAAGAAAGCAAATATTGTTCACATATTCAAGAAAAGTGACAGAACCAAAGCTGTCAAATATAGACCAATTAACCTGACCTCATCAATTGGAAAAATGTTGCAGTAAATCATCAGAAAGTAAAAACAATCTAATAAAGCCTAGATAAATATAATAATCCTTGCATTTGATATAGCGCTTTTCACGTCTTCTAGATGTCTCAAAGCGCTTCACAGAATATACTGTAAAGGGAATTGACTGTATATTTGTGGGCGAAACGCGACAGCCATTTGTGCACAGCAATGTCCCACAAACAGTCGTGAATTGAAGCGACCGATTTATTATTGTTTTTTTNCTTGAGGGATTATCAGGCGTGTGGAGTAAGGAAACTTGCCCAAGGTTTCGACCTGCCGGGAATCAAATCCAGGTCTTGCGCTTGTGAGACGAGTGCTTTAACCACTGAGCTACAGGATTCCTGTATGGATTCAGAAGTGATCTTGATTAACCAAGCTCATAAATTTTTTTGAGGTGGTGACGGCCCAAATTAACTCTGGGAAGCCAGATGATTTATATTATCTAAACTTCTAAAACATGTTTGAAAAGTGAAAAGAACCATGAAAGACTTTCACAAACTCAAATCTCTGGGTACTAAGGGCAAGGAATAGACATGGATTCAAAATTGGCTGATGGAAATTGCTTTTAAGGTTGCTATACAATACATTTTACATTTATAAAGTGCTGGCAGCGCCTCCTCACCTCAGCTGCTGACATTATCACCATTCATGGCTACACTCTTCACCTCACCGAGACAATCCAAAACCTCAGTGTCCTTTTCGACCCTCAGCTGTCTTTCAAACCCCACATTCGTGCCATGACCCATTCTGGCTTTCCACACCTCCGCAGCATTGCCCACCTCAGCCACTGCCTCTCATCGCAGGCCGCTGAGACACTGATCCACGTTTTCATTATGTCCCGGTTTGACTACACCAACTATCTGCTCACTGGACTTCCCAACTCTTCCCACTACAAGCTGCAAATTATTCAGAACTCTGCAGTTTGTGTCCTATCCCGCACTAGGAACCTAATACCCCCATTTTCACCCGGGTTCACTGGCTCCCCATTCCTCAGGGAACATATATAAGAAATAGGAGCAGAAGTAGGCTATTCGGCTCCTCGAGCCTGCCCTGCCATTTGATAAGATCATTGCTGATATTCTAACCTAATTCCATTACCCGCCCTATCTCCATATCCCTTAATCCCTTTAGTTTTTAAAAATCTATTGATCTCAGTCTTGAATATGTTCAATGACTGAGTGTCCACAGTCTTCTGAGGTAGAGAATTCCATAACTTCACTACCCTCTGAGTGAAGAAACGTTTTCTCAACCCAGTTCTAAAGGGCTGACCTTTAATCTTGAGACTGACCCCTAGTTTTAGATTCTCCAACCAGGGGAAACAGTCTCACACTATCTACCCTGTCAAGATCCTTAAGAATCTTATAGGTTTCTATAAGATCATCTCTAATTCTTCTATATTCTAGAGAATATAGGCCTAGTCTACTCAACCTCTTCTCATAGGTCAACCCCCTCATCCCAGGAACCAACCTAGTGAACCTACGTTGCACCCCGTCTAAGGCGAGTATATCCTTTCTTAGATTAGGAGACCAAAACTACACACAATATTCCAGGTGCAGTTTCACCAAGGCCCTATACAATTGCAGTAAGACTTCCCTATGCTTGTACTCTAACCCCTTTGCAATAAACGCTAACATGCTATTAGCCTTCCTAGTTGCTTGCTATACCTATGTACTAACTTTCTGTGATTGATGTACAAGGACACCTAAATCCCTCTGAGTATTAACACTATTTAGTCTCTCCCCCTCTGGAAAATAATCTGCTTTTCTATTTTTTCTACCTAGGTGAGTAACTTCACGCTTGCCCACATTATACTCCATCTGCCATCTTCTTGCCCACTCACTTAACCTGTCTATATCCCTTTGCATCCTCCTTGTGTCCTCCTCACAGCTTTCTTTCCCACCTAGCTTTGTATCGTCCGTGAATTTAGATACATTAAGCTCCATTTCCTCATCTAAATCATTGATGTAGACTGTAAACAGTTGAGGCCCAAGCGCTGATCCTTGCGGCACTCCACTGGTCATAATCTGACTCTGCCTAATCATATTATGACTTTAAGTGCCTCATGACGTCGTCCCTAATTATAACCTCTGGAAATTTCCCTACTACCGATGTCAGGTTAACTGGTCTACAGTTCTCCATTTTTTTCTCTCCCATCCTTCTTAAATAGCGGTATTACATTTGCAATCTTCCAATCAAGAATCTTCAAGGCCCTCCACGGTCTTGTACCCTTCAACCTCATAACCCCATATCAGCCTGTCCACTCCCTCTGCTTGTTGGACACCGGCCTGCTTCAGGTCCCTTGCAATTCCCGCCCCACCACTGGCAGTCAGGCATTCAGCTTCTCTGCCCCCACTCTCTGGAACTATCCTGCAATCCCTTAGCCTCACCCCCCTCTCTTGCCTCCTTCAAGTCCCATCTGAAGACCTTTCTCTTCGACGATTCCTGTTCAGCTGGAGGTCAAAAATCCCATGACACTATTTGAAAAAAGAAGGGTGTTTGTTCTGTTATCCAATAGACAAAATTGGTCATTCACTTCATGGCTGTTTATGGGATATTACTGTGCCAAATTGAATGCTGTGGTTTGCCTAAAAAGTAGTCACTATACTTTACAGTGAATCCTGTGAAGTGCTTTGAAATGTACTCCTGATGAGAATGTTGCTATATCAAATGCAATTTTTTTTATTATTGCTTTCTTTAAATTAGATCAGCTATAAATAGACCGTATAAAACACACCAAAATACTGTACTTCACTGGATTGTGAAGAAACCATTAAGTTCAATTAAAGGAGTGGAAGATAATGTTGACAATCTTCATAAGGAGAATAGAAAATTACTGTTACACATACACTTTGGTTGTTTATCTTGAACTGTATTTTGAAAATGAACAGCACAAATCAGCATAAAATGTGTCATAAAAATTAGTGGATATTGCAATGGTGGCAGTGCATTGTTGGATTTATTCCATGAAGGATTCCTGCTGTTTGATGGGAAACAACAAGAAGATTCCATTTATAGAGCGCCTTTCACGTCAGGAGGATGTCCCAAGGCGCTGTACAGTTGGGTCAGGACCCGAGCAGGGGGGAAATGGTCAGGGTGAGGGGAGGGAAGGGAGGGA